GACAGACATTTGGGGGCTCTCAGGGGACCCAAGCCTTGCGCCCCCGTACCTCCGCGTCCTGTCAAGCTGGCCCAGGGGATTCTGGGACCTGCCCTACGCTCCCCTCCCAAGCACAAGTCCTGACAGAGGCAGGGCCTAGGCAGCCGACGAGCCTGAAGCGCCGTAAAAGAAAATGAGGGCTGTTACCGTTTATGGGGTGTAAAAGGCTGCGGGGGGAACGGCTCCAACTTCGGAGGCCCAAGCGCCTTATAGATGTGGCCAGAGGGTTCAGCCTAGTCTCCCCCCATTCTTTTCTCGCTCTCCCCGCCCTCCCCCCACCACCCCGAGACTTCTGGAAAGTTATCTGTGTTCTGATGCGTAAAGGGGGAACCAGGGCGCCGGAGGATGGGGCTTCCCCTCACGCCCCCACCCCCCACCCCGCCGCCAGGTTGGGACGCCCTCTGTTGTTGCAGACAGAAGGAACTTCAAAGAATGGGCAGTTAAGGGTGTGCCATAAAGACCGGGTCTGCGAACTGTCTGGAATTCGGCCCTTAATTAGTTTACAACTGTCCAGCCCCAATTAAGATTTTCCACCAAAGCCCTTTCATTTGTTTGCTCTGTCTGCAGCCGATAAAGCGGCTGCGGAAACAGCTCTTTTATGGGCACTGCCCTCTCGGCAGCGTAGATTCCGGGCTCCATGCACACTCCCCAGGGACAGGGCCCTCGCCCAGCTTTGGGATAGGGTGCCCGGCCCGCGGCGCCAGCGGACGAAGTTCAGGCCGCGCTGCTGGGGCTGCAGTGCCCAGATTCGGCCAGCAGATGGCAGTATGGCTCCACGCAAGTGGAGCCCGCGCCGCCATCTCCCGCCGCCGTAACCCTGGGAAGTTCCTAAGATGTCGACTTGACGCTAGCCTTTCTCGAATGGGAGCCCCAGATTGGAATGAACTGCGGTCGTATATTTTCTGTGCTGCTCACGCCGGGCCGGAAACCTCGCTGGGAAACAAGCAAGCGGTGGGGCTCGCCGGACCTGCACCGTTCCCTCCCCTGTTCCTTTCCCGGATTCCGGAGGCCTGTCGCTGCGTGGCTGCAGCCGTCCCGCGGCTGCGGGGCTATCGCTCCAGGCGCGGGGGTGGTTCTAGGGTCATCGTCCCCAGCCCCGGACAAGCCTCGGGGCAGCGCAACGCTCGGAAAGCCCGGCTGACCAGCGGACAGACACAAGGACTAAGGCCTACAGCCCCGGGACTCGGTGACCCCCCCAGAGGGTGTGCACAGGGCGCATACCTTGGCCAAAGGCCCGGCGGCGGCGGGGGAGGCTCCCTAACGCTGCGCCCTGGTACAAAGCCCTGTGAGCCAGCACCCGCAGGAGAGCCAGGACCCCAGGACCCGGGCTGCATAAGTGACAATAAAATTTGGCGGCTGAATATGGGGAGGGGGGAGGCATTCTGGTGACTTTCCAGTGTGGGTTTGGCGGTTAAGTTGCGCGGGATGGGGAATCCCTGGGAGCAGGCACACCGGGAACTGTTTTGATTGTTCTAAAATAAATGCAATATTTAAAATAATTATAACAACATATCCTAGCTCCAGAATGGGAGCTCACGTCGTGAAAGCTGCCCTTGGTTTCTCTCGCCACCGGATTTTTTTTTTTTTTTTTTTTTTTTTTTTTTTTTTTTGGCAGTGGAGCTGCTTAGGCTACTCCGGTTTCCCCTGCTCAGGAGGCGAGGAGGAGGGAGGGGACCCCAATCTAGGCCCAGCCTATCCCGAACCCTGGGCGGGGAACACGCCCCGGAACCTTCCAGGAGGCGGCCACGAGTTGCGGGTGCGAGGATCAGCCCCTGGTGCAGAATGCTTTCAGAGGGAACACGCAAAGCAAACAGAGAACAAACACTTCGAAGCACCCCGGAGCCCTGTGAACACGCCACGCGGTGTATTTATTTGGGTTGTAATAGTCTCTGCCAAGCCCACAAAATGTTTACAACCTGCATCTCCGCGCGGTACACGCTGTAAAACTGGCGACTGGATTTTGGCTGACAGATCTCCTGAGCGTTTCTCTCTCGTTCTCTCTCTTCCTCCCTTCCTCCCTCCCGGCCGTCCCTCTCCTCTCTTTTTCTCCATTTATATACACACGTTGGTATTGAAGACACACGCCCTCATTATCTTTCCTCCTATAATACACAGTATTTCACAGCATCCGATTGTAAGAATGGTTTTATAGCTTCCCCGAGAGCCGCCCGTGGCCATGTAGCCAAGCTGCAGATACAAAGCTCGATTTATGTAACTACAAATAAATGGCGAAGGAGCAGATCGGTGGCCACCGCTTCTCTCCACCGAGTATGGAGGCCCCAGGTAGGTGCCGGCCGGTCGAGATCTCAGAGGCCTCACGGACAGCCACGCGGGGCCTTTCTTGCCCTTGGCCGGCTGGTGGCTGGGAGGCGGCTCTCCCGCTCGGCTGCCTGGGAAGCGCTTCCCTGTTAGCCGCGCAAACAAAACCCCCCCGCGTCAGCCCCAGCTCGTTTGCACTCGTCGGGGATGGATTTGTCCCCGCGCCGCGACCGGGGATTGCTCAGTGGATGAAGAACCGATGCGCAGCTCGCCCGAGGGGCGCGGGTGGAAACGTTCAGACACGCAAATCGCCAGCCACCAGACCTGAGACAGGCTCCCTTAGCAACCCCAGGGCTGGCCTTAACATTCTTAGCTGGATTTAAATATTGAGGACTATTCGGGAACAAGAAGCAAGGGAAATACATTCTGTCTGGTAGGGAGGAACCCAGCTCCATGAGAGCGGTGAGGGGGAAAAAATGCTTTTTTGTAAAGACAGCTCGGCTGATGAGAAACCCACCTACACGTGCCTGCTCCAGGCTGAGCGTCAACGAGTATTTCTGTGAATATTATTACATATAACCCAGTGCATTTGTGTCTTTTCAGCCAAATAAGTAGGAAACCAATGGCTGGAGAACACGCGATTAAGGGGCCCTTACTGAAAGCCTGACTTTGGCCTTTCGTTTTAAAACCCTGCCCCAGAAGGCAGGAGGAGAGAGAGGAGCCCGGAAACGAAAGAAAAAATTCTGCACCCGCGGGACTCGGCCCAGTTGGCTGACTTGGGCCCAGAAAGGCCAAGGCCTTGCCGGCGGTATCTGGATTCTCCTTGGCCCCAGCCGAGGGGCAGCGCGTCCTGCCAGGACCGTTTGGACCTGCGCCGGACCTGCGCTGAGCAGGGATGAGCTTGTGGCGTGGGCTCTCAGCCCTCTCGCGTTCCTTCCCGCGCTCCCTGAAATCTCTCCCCACTCGGTCTGGGTCATCTCACTTCAGGGCAGGTTTTACTCTAAACGCCATCGCTGTCTGCCGCTCCAGCCGCCCGAGTCTAGACAGACGGCGGCGGCGGCGGCGGCGGGGCCCGGTCTTTCTCTTTGCATCTTGCTCTGTGTCACCCGAGGAACAATTTATTGGTCTAAAGCTGTCTAATTCCGCCTCTTTGATCTCCTAGCTTTCTTGCTTGCTTCGTCTTCCTTTAACTTTCTTATGTTTTTATTTCCTGCCAGAAAGCGATGCTATTTGGAATATTTGATGTTTCTTCCCTTCCCATGTTACATCCTCCGTTCTCCAATCCAGACACGCTATCATCCTGATGCTTCAAAAAGGGCATCCCCGGATATTGCCCCCCCCCAAGCCCTTGTACCCCCAGGGGAAACCAGCAGGCGCCCACCTGCCCGGACAGCCCCTGCCTTCCCACCCACTCCCCTGGGCAGTCCATTAGGCAGGAGCTGGGACTCCGCTGCATCCGGGTCTGGACCCTCTGGTTGCCTTTTGTGCTCCTGGGACCCCCTGAGAGGGTGCAGTGAAGGGGGGGGGCGGCCTGGACTCTCTGAAAGTGATGGGAAGTGCTTTGTACACAAGGAACCAAACTCTATAATTTAGAGGAGAATTTCCGGGGCAATTCCATTGTGAGGTCGGGTTTATGGTGTGCAATCGAGCTGAGCAGTAAAAGGCATACTGACCTGCCGGCTGGGCTTCCAGCGAGGCCTGAGCAGTTTATGAGGCGTTTAGGGGAAGGGTTTGCCCCACCACACTCCACCGAGCGGTGGGCAGCAGGGACTTCGGCTGGTCCAACCCTGAGCAGGGGTTGGAGGCTTGGAAAGGTAAGCTCCATGCGTTGGGGACCTGACGGGAGGGAGGGAGACTATTGTGTGCTCCGCTCTCTGTGAGCCAGTCTTGCAAATGTGAAGACACCAGAGTCTGGGTGGCCATTCGAGAGGGGTCCTCTTATTTGTTTTGGTGGTCTCCAAAAGAAATGGAAATCCAGAGTGGGCTGAAGTCCCCAGGCACCTGGACCCCCTCTCTCCTTTCCAAACTGGCTCTACAGTATGTATTGCTTGTTCCCAGGCACTCAAGCCCTTGAGGAGCTGGCAGAGGCCCATGGGTGGCCCCCGTGACGTCTTCCAGAACAGTCCCAGCGCTAGGAGTACCTGGAAAGGTGTGGGGCCCAAGGTTCCTCCAACCTTGGGGAAGGAGACTTGGTTCCCCTTGAACCAGGGGGAACCAGAGGTTGCAGGGAGGACAAAAGAGTAACCAGCTGTTTCTTAAGCTGCCAGAGACCAGCCAGGTGCCCCGGAGCGAATGCACGTACCCTGCCAGGACAGTGGTGTCCAGAAGGAGGGAGGGGAACCCCATGTTAATAAATCTGTTGGCAAATGAGGCTCATCAATAGATAAATATTTCACTGCTTCCTTTAAGGCGGATAAACAGTGTGCTGCCGATTAAGGAAAGGAAGCTGGGAGACGTTGACTTTATTCGAACCACATGGTTCCAGCTTGCGGTGGCGTTCTCACTGCAGCTGGAAGCGACACTGCGCCGGCCCCATCTGGATCAGAGTCTAAGCCGGCCTATCGCCCAGTGGACCTGGGCGTGGGGGCGGGTGGGGGGACGCGGGCAAAGAACCCATCTGCCCAGAGCTGAGACTTGCCCGTGGGCTGCTGTAGGGCGGGCGGGTGCGCACTGCGCAGAGACCCTCCCTAGGCTGGGTCAGTGGACAGGACGGGGGTAGGGAGGGCCCGAAGGCTTGGTCCAGAGTTCAGTGATAGGCAAAAAGGAGGCTGTGCTGGGCCGACCCCGCGCGGCCTCTGCAGACTAGGCGTCCAGGTTGTGGTGGACTGAGCGCTCGCACGGAGCCTCGGGGTCCTTTTCCCGCGGGACGCGCCAGGCGGGCCAGGCGCGGGCAGATTCGTTGACCACATATTTGAGCCTCTTCTCCTTCCATTCTAGGCTGCCGCTGGCCCCGCGGAGCGAGACCACCTGTGAGGGCTGCTGAGATTGGCGGAGGCGGTCATGTGGGCGGTCACGTGCTGCGGCGAGCTCGGTCCAAAAGAAAATGGGGTTTGGTGTAAATCTGGGGGTGTAATGTTATCATATATCACGCTACCTCGTAAAACCGACACTGAAAGCTGCCGGACAACAAATCACAGGTCAAAATTATGAGTTCTTCGTATTATGTGAACGCGCTTTTTAGCAAATATACGGCGGGGGCTTCTCTGTTCCAAAATGCCGAGCCGACTTCTTGCTCCTTTGCGCCCAACTCGCAGAGAAGCGGCTACGGGGCCGGCGCCTTCGCTTCGACCGTA